GCCGGGCTGAGCCAAAAAAAGGCCTGACTATTTTGGGCCGAAAAAGTCTCGCCCATGACCGTCCCACTGGACGAGGCAGACCTACCACGCAGTTTACAGTGTAAAATAGCTAAAATAAATGTTTCGCGCTAGACTTCGGCCAAGAAAAAATTCCTAGGTGGCGGGATATGTGCCCAGGCCTGTGCCACTAAGGCTCATGGCCTCATGGGTGGGCCAAAACCTGTTGGGCTCGGGCTCAGGCTTGTGGGGCGGGCTCAAAATGCTCAAGTCTATAAGGAAGCGTATTCAGGATGGAGGAGAGGCGCCTGAGATATAGGCCAGGGACTTGGGGGGTGAACCTGGACGGGTTCCGAAAAAGGTAGAACGGTAAATGCACACTTGTTCTGTTGCTAGTTTTAGACCCACACATTTTACCCATTTGCCCTTCCCGACTATTGCTCATTTACCCATTTTCCGATTGCTCTGAGCAACAAAAGGTGGCTCAGGCGCGTGCTCGGCTTGGCTCAGCATGTCACGGCGGCGCGTGCGTGTGGCCTCCCAACTCTCCTCCTCAGGCTAAAAAGGTGTTGATCATCCTATGAAAGATCACAAGGTTAGCATGTTTGAAAAAGGTTTGAAAAACACGTTGTTTGCATTGTTTTTAGGGTCACTAGAGCTCTCTGCAAGAAAGGTGCACCTAAGCTTTCGAACAGTGATCCAGTCATGCTATTTTCAAATGCTCAAACCCAACCTTCTGGTGTGCACCGGCTTTGAAACAATGTGCATACAGGAGGTGGCAATTTCAAAAATAACAAAATATGCACCAGGGCTCTATCGTTGCAGCACCGGAGAGCTGCACCAGAGAGAGTGATCCCAGATAGGGCTCTCTCGTGCGGTCAAGTAATGCAAGAAAGATAAAGATGTGATGAGACAACTGGATTTTTCCTATGGTATTGGGTTGTTGCATAACCCCTAATCCATGTTAGAGCATTAAGAGTCCCAAGACTCGGTTAAACTCTCATCCATTAATGAATACCCGTTTGGCACTCTAGCATGGTGGGTTTCAATACTGTGAACACCTTTGGAGCCTCCTCATAATAGTTCCATCAAGGAAGATCACCAAGTCCTTTACTAAGCCATCTAGGTGATGGTAATCACCGGGAGTAACAACTCTTCAAGCTTCAACTCAAGAAATCACAAAAAAGAACATGGTAGCACTCAAGACTAACACTCAATACTCACTTTTTGGTTTTGGTATCTCTCTAATGGTTCAATATTCTCTTTATTAAGTGCCTAACACTCAATACTCACTTTTTGGTTTTGGTATCTCTCTAATGGTTCACTATTCTCTTTATTAAGTGCCGGTAGCAATAGGGTGCAAGAGAAACTCCAAATGAGCCAAGGGTAGCACTGATATAGATAGTGTGGAGTCTGTTGCATGCCTCGAGGTGTGGTGGCCATGAGCACGGTGGTGTGGGCTTGGGGAACCTCTCTCCGGCATGGTGCACATCCTCTTGTGCCGCTCTCGTCATGCTTGATCGATGGCGGGTGTGGGTTTAGTCGGCTAGGATCTTGTCGGTGGTGGACATTCCAACAGGGCCACTGCACATGCATGTCAACTTCATTGTCGTGTTTTCTGTCACTTCCATGTGTTGCGCTAACCTTAAGGGCTCTAAAGTTTAGCAACTAGTTGTTAGCACAAGGGATCCAAACAGGCCCGTATGAGAGAGAGAGAATCGTAGGTCCTAGATTTTTGTATGAACTTCAATATGTTTATACATGCCTCGATCTTCGGTAACAACCTCCACTATTTTAGGCCTCATAATTTATGCTCCCCAAGTTTGTCAAGAACTTAGTACTATCAAAGCATTTTCTCATTTTCTTGCAACTAAAAACAATCCGATGAGTTAATCTTGTTAGACGCTTGTGTTGCTAAGTTCCGTGCACTTGTGTTACTAAATAATGAAAATATTTTCCCCATAGGGATCAAAGCTGATTATAGTATAGCCCTAGCAAGAAAGTCGAAAGGTCAAATGATGGATACAAATATAACGGTATTTTATAAACCATCTAAAGGTATTTTATAAATCGTCTAATCCTTCCTAGGTCTTTCTCGAACCATGTGCAAGACATAGTATATCAATCATGGAGGTTAGCTGTTGGAGGATGCACTTAGCCGCCGGTTAGTTGCACCAACATATATTTTTTTTGTGTGTATTGTATCATGGAAGGAAGTCTCGATTCTAATAATTGCTTGGTGATATCCTTAATCTGCGCTCTACGATAGATCCAGCAAGCTAGTAGGATAAATTTTCCCTAAGCAGGGCCCTGGAAGTTTCTGGCTTATGCTTTTGGTATCCTTTTAATCACGCTCTATTAGTAGATTAGCTCTATTTTGTTATTAGTGGTTAGATTAGGGATCTTTTTTTTTTGAATGGGTTAGATTAGGGATCTAATAGATCGCATCTTCCTTTTTGCGTTATTGCTTTTCTTTACACCGTGAGAGACCGTTTGAGGAGAATATTATGCGTGTGATGGGTTGCTTGTACTAGTTTTGGACTGCGTCGTATATCTACCCTAGTCCTGCTTCAAGAACCGTGCAAGCATGTATAGCTAGTACGGATACGTTGTATCACGGTCTGTATAAATTTAGATACAAGCTAATGCAGGTAAATGAACATGTGTTTTTAAAGATGAGGTTAAAATCCTGAGAGGCCACCGGACCTGTCTAAATTTGACTTCAATCTTAAAAAAAAAAAGGTTTGCTGTCCCTATCAGACAAATTAAGATAATTCAACTAAATATATGAAGTAATTTAGTGTGTGTAAAGATCCGTCTTTGTATTGATTTAAGCATTTGATCGACCCAAAGGTCACTGATTTTAATTAACTTGATTAAAATTTGTACACATGATTTATTGTTTTTAGCATGCGGCAGCAGATATAGTAGCCTAGGCCCGGTATCAAGGGATTCGCTGTCCAGTTGATATATTACTCCGGTAAAAATCACTTAGTCTTTTTTTTAAAAAAAAAAAAATAAGGGTCTTTAAGATGATATTTGTTTTGAGTTCTCTTTCTCCCATTAATATGAACATAACACTATTCCATCTATTGCAGATGAAGGTGCACTTTGCATCTTTATTTTTGACTAAGTTTATTAAAGATATATTTATTAAAGATATATTAAAATATATTCATCTACAATGGAATAGAGAAAATTTTTTAGGGGAGGCTGAACAAAAGTGCGACAACACACGATCTAAAATATATTCTAGGTGGGTTTAAGGAGGGTTCCACCAGGCCCCCTCCCCCCAAAAGTTATCACATGTTGTAGACACTATTGTGTTAGTATGTTTATTCTCCATTGTGCATGTTCTATATACTCCATCCATCCTAAATCAAGTCAACTTCTAGAGTTCAATTTGATCAAATTATAGAAAAAAGAATCAATATTAAATTGGTATCACTAATTACATGGAATATATTTCCATAATATGCTTATGTGGTGTCATAGATGTTAATTTTTTCTTATAAAGTTGGTTAAAATGGTTTGACTTAAGGTGAATTTAGGAATTAATTTATTTTGCAATAGAGGTAGTACTACTCCCTCCATCCCAAATTATTAGTCATTCCAATAATCTTAGAGAGTCAAAGCATCTTAAGTTTGACTAAAATTATAGAAAGAATTACAAAGATTTATAAAATCAAATATATATACTATGAAAATATAATTAATGAAAAACCTAATGGTACTTAGTTGGTATCATAAATATTATTATCTTATTATATAAATTTGGTCAAACTTGAAATGCTTTAACTCTACAAGATTCTTAGAATGACTTATAATTTAGGATGGAGGGAATACTTAGTAATGTGTTTGTATTGGGCTATTGGCAGTTTCTTTTAGCAGAGACCTCGAGGATTTATTCGCTAATGATTTTACATACTGGCATGTTCTTAAACCTCGCCTTGTCCCTTCTTGCGTGCTAGTATAGAGTTGTGATTATTGTTTACTAGTACCATTTTTTTATAGGGATTGTTTTAGTACAATCTACTATTGGTGCGGGTTTTTTTTTGAACATTGATGCGGTTGTTGGTACTTGGTACACTGGTAGTCGCTGACGGCTGACTCGTGCCACTTGAACAGTACTATACGTGGAACTAGATCCAGCTACCACGATGACTACTTGTCGTGCTCTGTTTGGTCGGTCAAATCATATTATGGCACAGAGCTAGTAGATGCCTGCCCTGGATCGGCTCGATCGAGCTCACCTCATCGCGAAACCACCTCGCGGCTGCGCTACTCCATCAGTCCACAGTCCTAAAGCTTCGCCGCCGGGCGCCCGGGCGCCGGCCGAGTCCAATAGTCCCACTCACCTATAAAACCACTCCACAATGGAAGGACGTCTCGCTGTACCAGAACACCAAAAGCACTAAGCCATCTCATCTCCACTCCTGCGAACAAAGCACATCCACACACACTTCCAGTTTCCGTTCCAGCTTCCAGCTCCTCCAAATATTTCGCGCCACTTGTTGGCTCTGACGGTTTAGTTCCGCATCAGCCATGAGCTCCAGGATGGCCGGAGCAGCGCTCCTGCGCCACCTAGGCCCCCGCCTCTTCGCGGCCGAGCCGGTGACCGGGCTCGCGGCGAGGGGCGTCATGCCCGCGGCCGCGAGGATCCTCCCCGCACGGATGTCCAGCACCGCCACCGCGGAGGCCGCCAAAGAAGCTGCCGCGCCAGAACAGCGCCAAAAGCCCGAGGCCCCGGCGCCGGAGGGGCAGGACAAGAAGGCCGTCGTCAGCTACTGGGGCATCCAGCCGCGGAAGCTCGTGAAGGAGGACGGCACGGAGTGGAGGTGGTTCTGCTTCAGATTGAGCACTTGATCTGCTCTACACATTTGCAACCGCGCAATTCCAACTTGTGATGGTCTCCGTTTGATTGTTTGCTGTTCGTTCATACCTATGCATCATATACGTACGTGCAGCCATGGGACACGTACAGAGCGGACACGTCGATCGACATGAAGAAGCACCACGAGCCGAAGGCGCTGCCCGACAAGCTGGCCTACTGGCTGGTCAAGTTGCTGATCGTGCCCAAGCAGCTCTTCTTCCAGCGCCGGCACTCCAGCCACGCGCTGCTGCTGGAGACGGTGGCGGCCGTGCCGGGCATGGTGGGCGGCATGCTCCTGCACCTGCGCTCGCTGCGCCGCTTCGAGCACAGCGGCGGCTGGATCCGCGCGCTGCTGGAGGAGGCCGAGAACGAGCGGATGCACCTCATGACGTTCCTGGAGGTGGCGCAGCCAAAGTGGTGGGAGCGCGCGCTCGTGCTCGCCGCGCAGGGCGTCTACTTCAACGCCTACTTCGTCGCCTACCTCGCCTCGCCCAAGTTCGCGCACCGCTTCGTCGGCTACCTGGAGGAAGAGGCCGTGCACGCGTACACGGAGTACCTTAAGGACCTCGAGGCCGGCATCATCGAGAACACGCCGGCGCCGGCCATCGCCATCGACTACTGGCGCCTCCCCGCCGACGCCAAGCTCAAGGACGTCGTCACCGTCGTGCGCGCCGACGAGGCGCACCACCGCAATGTGAACCACTTCGCATCGGTACGACACTCTAGCTTGCAAGAATTCACCTGCTTTTTGTGAACAACTTTGACAGCTCTCATCTAATTAATCGGTTTCTTTGGATTGCATTGCAGGACATTCATTACCTGGGGATGAAGCTGAAGGACACGCCTGCGCCTCTCGGGTACCACTAATTAGTCAATTGGCCTGCTAGCTTAGCAATGTCGCCTGTATTACGGGTCGGTCATGATGTTAATAATTAACCTACTACCTTGTTTTGTGATTGTCTGCATTATTTGTGTCACATGCTATAATCCAGTCTGATTTACGGGATGAAGCTGCGGGACACGCCTGCGCCTCTCGGGTACCACTAATTTAGTCAACGTGGCCCGCTAGTTTAGCAATGTCGCCTGTATTACTGGCCGGTCATGATGTTAATTAACCTACTACCTTGTTTGTGATCAATTTGTCTGCATTATTTGTGTGTAAATAATATATATTTTGTGCCACATGCTGATCGAGTCTGATTTACTCGATCTCTAATAAATAATCGGTATTTTGTGCCACGTGAAGGGTTCGGTTAGAATGGATTGAGGTGAAAAATAACAGATTTAATCCTTCTCAGTCGTCTGATTTTTTGCTTATCTATCAGTCACCTGCATCTTCCCTAAATTTTACACCCCACCGTTGTCCACCGCACGCGGCACGTCCATCGGATGTTGCCCCACGCACCACCGTTTGTCACCCTTTTCGTGCCCTGCATCATCCCTCCGTTGCACAGGTATTAAATATCGCGAGTCGGCCGCTGCCACGCCACTAATGCCCGAAGCTAATCGCCGGACATGCGGCCTGGAGCTTCGATTCCCAGAGCCGCCCGGAATCTTTTAACCCTAATTAGTCCATGATTTGACAACGTTTTGAGGGAGCTGAGCAGGAGCTCTGGAGCAGCGAGGTAAGCAAGGACGAGCGTGAGGTTGAAGAAGATGCGATGAACGGCGTGAGCGCGAGGTTGAAGGTGACTGACGACGAGATAGTCCCGAAAAATAAATTATCTTGATTCAACCCCATGGGAATTTAAAAATCTCCTAACCTATACGGATTAGTGCGGGTTGAAGTACAACCAAACAAACACTACTCCAATTATGAAAAAATTTGTTTTTTATTAGTATCAAACACTGGGCAACCCATGATAATATCCTCAACCGGCACAATAGGTATTTATATTTTAAATATTATTTTTCATATGAAGACAGATCAAAACAAACTTTATAGAAAAAATTAGAGTTTAATCCTTCATAGTTGAAAACTTTTCAATTTGAGATGAGTTATATGTTTAAAATTTAAAGGAATTTGGATGGTTTGGAGGATCTTGAATGGGAAGAATTTGTGAGAGTAAAACATTGTTCGGATGAAAAAGAAGTGGATCAAAATACCATTTAAGGTCACATAAATGTGAAGGGCCTAATATTAGTTATATTTTACAAGTATTGGGTATGAGATGGTATGGTCACTTGCATCTTCCCTCCCTTCCATGATTTGTTTTTTAGTAGTGAAGCGTTATATATGCTCCCTTGGCATGATGTAAATATTATCGAAGGTATCTGTTAAAATGGGCTGGGAAATACATCACCACCTCACGCATTAGCATGGAGAACAAGAGCGTCCAACAAAATTCATAGGCTTCAACTTGGGATGAATTTATTTCATCCACGACCACGATGACTCGCCCGCCAAGCTGCCCTTATATGGTGTGCACCACCGATTTTGTCACCCTTTCACTCTAAAGTACTATAATTGTCATAAACAATCTTTTAAAACTACCCTACCTTGCTCTTTGAAGTGAGCAAAGGATAGTCATGCTAATCCATCCATTATAATCACTATTTTCTTCAAAAGAAAAGTCTCAAATGCCAGAAAGATATAGCCATCTTTAATTTGCTAACCTCTCCCACTGGCAGCCCGGAGCTTATCGGATTATATGCGCGCCGCTGATTATAAAAATCTATAACTCTTATAAAGTAAAACCCCACTAATACTATTTTCTCCGCCACGTTGTGTCATGTCATCACCATGATTCACTAGTCGATGGCCGATCCCTCGGGCCTAGTCTAGATCGAGATTAGAAATACCTTTAGTCGTCGATGGCGGCGACTAAAGGCGCCTAACCTGCGCCAGAGGAAGAGGCGCTTTAGCCGGTTGAGGGAGCTGAGAGCAGAGCTCTGGGAGCAGCGAGGTAAGGTACTCCCGGGACGAGCGCGAGGTTGAAGAAGATGCGATGAGCGGCGTGAGCGCGAGGTTGAAGGTGACTGACAGTCACCTGACGACGAGATAGACCCGAAAAATAAAGCCTTTTTTTTTTCTTGATCTCTTTCAACCCATGGGAATTGGGGTAAATCTCAATCTCTCCTAACCTATACGGATTAGTGCGGGTTGAAGTACAACCAAACAAACACTACTCCAAAAATGGGGAAAAAAATTTAGGTGGAGACTATCCCCACCAAGCATCCATGGGCACCCACTGGGCAACTGACAGTGATAATGTATCACAACCGGCACTGATAGGTATCTCTGTTGATTCATAGCTACGTATCACTTGATTTGCATAAATAATTATATTTTTTCATATGAAGTCAGATCAAAACCATCTTTATAGAAAAATTTTAGAGATTAAAGAGATCTTTAAAACTTCATAGTTGAAAACTTTTCAATTTGAGATGAGTTATATGTTTAAATATTTAATATAAGTTCTCGGACCAGATTTGGGATGGTTGATACAATCTCGAATGGAGCCAAAATCAACATCAAAATTGTAGTATTCGACTAGATCTATAACTTTACAGTTAACAGCCTTTTTCATTCGAGATCTTTAGAGTGTCAAATATACCATGCAAGATTCGTAAATGTGAAGTTAGAATAATATTAGTTATATAGTTACAAGTATTAGGTAGGTGAGATGGTATGGATGTTTGAGAGCATGTTAGAGGTTATTTAGAACCGATGATGATAATGTTTTTTTAGTAGCGAAGCGTTATATATGCTCGTGTGGCTTGGCGTGATGTAAATATTATCGAAGGTATCTGTTAAAATGGGCTGGGAAATACATCACCACCTCACTGCATTAGCATGGAGAACAAGAGCGTCCAACAAAAATTCATAGGCTTCAACTTGGGATGAATTTATTTCATCCACGACCACGATGACTCGATGAGGTGATTTCTCAAACTTATATGGTGTGCATTATAAGGATTTTAGATCCTAACTGCGTTCACTCTAAAGTACTATAATTGTCATAAACAATCTTTTAAAACTACATTACCTTGCTCTTTGAAGTCAGATCTAGGAAAGGATAGTCATGCTAATCTCAGGAGGATATTAATATTTAACCATTATAATCACTATTTTCTTCAAAAGAAAAGTCTCAAATGCCAGAAAGATATAGCCATCTTTAATTCGCACTAACCTCTCCCACTGATCAAAATATTTTAATTTTCTTATCAAAAAATTATATGTGTAGTGTATTTTTTATTATAAAAAATCTATAACTCTTATAAAGTAAAACCCCACTAATACTATTTCTTTGCTTCCACGTTGTACCATGTCATCACCATGATTTCTACCATCCGATCCTAAGCTTACACCTCCATCCTAACCATCAGTTCCACTTCATATTTATCTTCAAGTTCATAGTCATGTCACCCCATAGTGCAGCTTTTCATTTCATCTTCCAGCTGCAACTAATGCACGCATGCTGCCTCTGTGCAGCTTTTCATTTCATCTTCCAACATGCAATGCACGTACGTTGCTCTTAACTATGAATCATGGCATAATGTCCTTTGCCACAGTGTTCTATCTATCTATTACTCTTATATAAAACAAAACCCCACTATTATTCTATCTTATTCCACAGAGTGGCATGTCATCATCCTTTAATATTTTTTAGGAAATCGTTTAATAATCCTAAATTTCTTTCAGCATGTTCGCTTGTTGGTTTCAGCCAGGGCTTATCAGCCAGCCAATAGTGTTTTTCTCTCATAACAAATCAGCACCAACCAGCCTTATCAGCCCAGAAACCAACCAGCGAACATGCCATTTATCATATGCATGCACGTAGCCACAGCACACGCAGGCTCGGCCCAACTGGTGCTTGCGGGTGAAACGTATTGAACCGTGCATCGATGGCCGCCGCCCTCCCCTTCTCTCCCCTCGCCCCTAGCCCTTCCAATTCCCGTAGACAGCATCAAGTAATTGCTACACAGATAAGAACCAACAGCAGTTTCAGCTAAACGCTTGCTCCACTTTCCCTCATCATCAATACTAGACGTCAAGAGTCTCCATGATAGCATTCGGATGGTGTATATATTCTTCTCACTGCTCACTTATACATCCGAGATCCTCTAGCCTGCAGTAGGTGGATTAAAGATTGATGAGATTTGGTACAGAAGGTAGCCCCTCTTCTAAATCTACTATGCAATGCATGAAGAATTATGGCCCTGTTCGTGTTTTTTTCGGATTTGAGTGGAGTTTGTTGCCGGCATTTAATTTGTGTGGATTGGCTATTGCTTCCTTGCAGGTTTGTTGCGGCGTGCCGGCGTGCTGGAGGCCGCAGCCCGCAGCACCTTGCCCTGCAGCCCAGGTGAAGATGACCAGGGGCGCAGGATGCTCGGACGCAGCTGGACTTGACCCCGCACCGCCCGCCAGCCACCGGTGAATCGCGCCCTCGCATGTGCGCTCTCTTCTCCCTGGCTTTGCCTTGGAAACCCCTTCTGCTCTTGCTGTCCGTGTTCCCTCGGGTGTTTTGCATCTGACAATACCTCTTTTTCCCTATATTATCTCATCTATAATACGTGAAATAAAACTTTTGATATCTTATTAGTCATTTTTGTATATTTCTCTGTGATGGCATAGCCCAGGTAAAGATCAATCATGTCAGTAAGCTGATTTCACATTTCCTACAAGGCTACAAGTATACGCTGAATTCGACAAACCCATAGGTCTCGCTGCATTTGTTTTCTTCTAGCCGTTCCTGATGACATAACACAGAACGTCTCATCTTTAGGCATCTCCAAGTATGGCTTAACATTCAATTAACCATTCAAAGGAACAGAGACTCCATAGGCTGATATTTTGGGCATTATCGTGCAACTATGTATTATTCTATACTTAAATGTTTTGAAGCAATATATCTGTCTGTCCTAATCTAATTGAATTTACTCTCCATGCAATCAAAATTCTATTGATACCCGCGGCAACGCGCGGGAATCCTTCTTAGTAGTTTTTATAATTATACCATCAACATAGATATGTCAAAGCTTCACTTGACCAATAAATTTATTTAAAAGAACAATATGTTGGTAATTTAATATAGATTTGATGTGATATTTTATTTATTTATTTGTAATGAAAAGTGTGACAATAGATACAAATATAAGAGATTATGTAGATTATCTATAATAATAATAGATGAATAATTATATGCAAATTTAAGGTTACTTCTAATTATGTTTATAATGTTATACGTGAGTAATTTAGATATACTTCTATAGATTTTATGTAGTTTTTCATAATCGAGATGTGACTAATTAACGTAATTATAGTATATCGAATTGGACGAGACAGAGATGGGACAGGCTGGACCACGGTGAAGGAGGAGTTTGCGGCGGTTGGAAACTGTTCAGAAATTGGAATGTGGATGTGACCTTTTTGGTGCGGTACACAGTAGACAATCCTTTTTTTTCGAGAGCAGTGACGTGTGTTTAAATTAGTAGACAATCTTTTTTATACATATAATGGTACCGTAACGGCAAACAAATTTGCGTGATGATTACATACAGTAGCATACGCATACTCAACTGCCTCTCGTCTCCTGCAACTGCTAGCGGCTTAGTTCCCAAACTAAGGAGCCGGGACGTTTAGCATAGATAGAGCTCCTCGGGGCAGATTCTCTAGGAGAATCATTTCTCTTCAGTCAAACATCAAAATTACATCAAGATTTTAGCGGAGAGTAGGTAATGATCATTTCTCCATTTACATTGAAAGTTGAGAGCTAAAAAAAATCTGCTTCTCACTACTTCATATTCAATCTCCACTAAAATAATTCATGTGATAATTCTCACTTTTTTATCCACCCTACTCCTCCACTGAAATTAACTAGAATATCACTCCATCAAAAAAATCAAGAAGCTAAAAGCTAGAGAATGGAGCTATAATAACAAGAATGCCCTACCATTGTTTATTGAGCCAATATTGTTACGTTGTGTGGCAAATACAATCAATGCCAGCAAAGATTAATTAAGCAAGGCCCAGGAAGTTTCCGGCCGAATTCCAGTATATATACGTATTTCATTTATCCTGGTAGTTACATTATATACTGTTGAGTTACGATCTTCGAGCCTGATTGGTTGAAAGCCAAAATTTTGTTGCCAAAACTTAGGCAAGCCAAAATTTTGGCAGCCATTTGGTTTCGTATCAAAATTTGCCAATACCTCACAATTGACATGCTAAATACTCAATCCATTCCAAATTGTAAGACGTTTGACTTTTTTGACACCAAGTTTGACCACTCGTCTTATTCAAAAATTTATGTAAAATATCACTTCTTTCGTCGTGGTTTGGTTTATTAATAAAAATTCTTCAAGAATGACTTAAATTTGACTATATTTGCACAAATTTTTTGAATAAGACGAGTGGTCAAACTTGGAAGAAAAAAAGTCAAACGTCTTACAATTTGAGATGGAGGGAGTACATGGCAAATATTTTTGCTCAAGTTTTGGCAACCTCTTCCTGCCAAATCTTGAGCATAGAAAATTCAAGCAGACTCTAAATGCAAAAACTCGCTCTATAGAAAAAAGAAAAACATCCTAAATATAGTAGTTGCCACATTTGACTGACAACCTGGTTTTGGTCCGGGGTCGCTGGAAGCTGGACCGCTAGAGTCTTTCTTGGTCCGCAAGACAAAACAAACAACAGAACGGAAACCATCATGTAGTACCGTTTCGCTTTGCTTTCTCTTCTTATTTGTATATATGTATGTACTCCAGGGTAGGTGTACTACAAGTACTAGTTCGTACCATGGATGACGTTCCAATGGTGTGAACGGAATATTTCAACTGAAACATTACAAAATAATCCCATTAAAACATATTAAGCAGTTTCATTTACAAGCATCTAGTATTTTTAGCGTCATCACTCAGGAAAATAAAAGAAAAATAACTTAGTACAAGCTTTGCATGTCTTGTAGGGAGATCTGATGCGTGTACCAATTTCGCATCACAAAAGCACACGTGAACCTAAATGACACAGGCTGTTTCCAACCATAAGAAAAAATCACGGGCTAATTAAAACCATTCGACTTGGAGGAGAAGAAAGACCCTCCTGGGTTTCTGGAAGCCCGGCACCTTCCCCTTCGCTGACGGGGCGGACCCACCAGTCCTATATAAAAGTCCTCCCCAAAACATCTGCCTCATTTCCAAACTGCAACGAAGACCCACGTCTAAACAGGTGGCCCACCAACGATTCACTTCCCCGATCCCAGGCGGCGGCGATCGCAATTCGCAACTTCTCCCACGCGGCGACGATCACGAGCGATGATGAGCTCCCGGACCGGATCCATCCTCCTCCGCCGCGCCGGCTCCCGTCTCTTCACCGCAGCGGCCGTCTCTCCGGCGGCGGCCTCGAGGCCATTGCTCGCCGGCGGCAACAACGGTGTCCAGGCAGTCATGGTACGGCTGATGTCCACGTCGTCCCCCGCCGCCGCCTCGGAGGCGAAGGACGAGGTAGCCAAGGCCCCCAAGGAGGGAGGGGACAAGAAGGCGGTGGTGATCAACAGCTACTGGGGGATCGAGCAAAACAACAAGCTGGTGCGGGACGACGGCACCGAGTGGAAGTGGACTTGCTTTAGGGTACGCGCCCTGCTGCCCTCCGCCTCGCTTTGATCATTGTTCAGTTTTATCTGCCCTTGCTTTGCGGTTCGTCCCGGCGGTGGACCGATTTGCGCTAATTGTGCGTGATTAATATGTTGTTTTTGTTGCAGCCATGGGAGACGTACACGGCGGACACGTCCATTGACCTCACCAGGCACCATGAGCCCAAGACGCTGATGGATAAGATCGCCTACTGGACCGTCAAGTCGCTACGCTTTCCCACGGACATCTTCTTCCAGGTTCGTGCACGCACAATCCATTGATCTTTCTGTTCAATAGCGCGGATGATCAGTTCGGCGTTTCTAATTAGTTGGACCACTAGATACTGACTTCACTAGTACATGGCGTGGCATGGGGGTTAAGTATCAATGGTTCCTGTTTTTTTTTTCTCGGTTCTCCTGCTTTCTGGGAAGTCGCAGCTTGCATTTGCAATTTGCAACGTGCATGAAATCGAGTAGTTTACATCGATCACATTGGGGAATCGATTTTATATTCTATATCGAAGGTGGATAGTGACAACTGACAAGGACATCAGCAAACGGATCTATGGCATGGCAGCCCAGTAATAAAATACAGGCTTGATAATTTTTTTTGTTTGTATTAGCAATTCATCTTTTTAATCTGGCTTTTAGAAGAATTTCCGTTCGTAGATGCATGTGCAAATGATCTGCATATTTTCAAAGGTTGTGAAAGGTCGATTATTCCTGTACTGTTGTAAGCTTACCCTGTGAATTGGGCGATTTGTCTGCAGAGGCGGTATGGCTGCCGGGCGATGATGCTGGAGACCGTGGCAGCGGTGCCTGGAATGGTGGGCGGCATGCTGCTCCACCTGCGCTCACTCCGCCGCTTCGAGCAGAGCGGCGGCTGGATCCGCGCGCTGCTGGAGGAGGCCGAGAACGAGCGCATGCACCTCATGACCTTCATGGAGGTGGCGAAGCCGAGGTGGTACGAGCGCGCGCTCGTCATCACCGTCCAGGGCGTCTTCTTCAACGCCTACTTCCTCGGGTACCTCCTGTCCCCGAAGTTCGCGCACCGCGTCGTCGGCTACCTGGAGGAGGAGGCCATCCACTCGTACACCGAGTACCTCAAGGACCTCGAGGCCGGCAAGATCGAGAACGTCCCCGCCCCGGCCATCGCCATCGACTACTGGCGCCTCCCCGCTAACGCCACGCTCAAGGACGTCGTCACCGTCGTGCGCGCCGACGAGGCTCACCACCGCGACGTCAACCACTTTGCATCGGTACGAAATAATACTCCCAAATTCCAATAGCAGAACCTCTGTCTGATCTCATTTTGTTGACACGCGTGTGTGTGTTGTTTATGGGATTGGTTCTGAAGTCTGAATTAGTATTTGCTTGTGCCCTGCAGGACATCCATTGCCAGGGCATGCAGCTGAAGCAGTCCCCTGCGCCGATCGGATACCACTGAGGCTGTTTGTGCTCTGCTGAATTTTGCATCACTAATAAGCAAATTATGAGTGTTTTGTCTTTAAGGGAAAGAAAGAATGCTTTTGAGTTATGAGTACTACTACCGCGATTAGCAGGATATTTTCCAACCAGTTGTTTGAGAGTAAACCTATTTTATGTACGCCTCAATGCGTCGTCTTTATCAGAGCAAGCTTACCCTACATATCTATGTACGTATCTCTAAGTGTGACAGGTGCTTTTCTGGCGTTTATCACTTCCTGAAGTTCCTTGGTTCTTCATGTCAGCTGAATTGGGCTCTCTGATCTGGAAAGTAAAATTTCTGCATAGCTCGTATCTTGTTTGCAGAGGATTAATTGTGCTTAATTTCATTTGTCGTTGCTTGTACTTGGGCGTCCGATGTGCTTTGGATGGCTGATTATGGCGCTTGATTGCCATGCCAACCTTTGTCGTTGTCCCAAATGGCAGATTATCGAGGGATGCGCGAACTGAAAGCCCTTGGCCCCATCTGCCGTGCTTCCCTCGTTTTCCACCTTCCGCGGCCAATCTGCGGTGCTTCCCTCGTGGCCTCGGTCTCCACCGTCTGCCGCCGCCCTCCGCCATGTCTACCATCTGTTGCCTACAAGCCCGCGTCATCCCGCAATCCAAACCTGCAAAGCTGCCACGCCGCCGCTTCTCACCACCAACACCACCGACCCCGACCCGCAGGTGGCTAACCCCGACCCATAAGCACCTGAAGTGCCGAGCGGACTTCACTGGGATAATTCTGTTCTGCGCTTGATTTGCAGGGCAAGACCGGGCCGATGGGTGGGTTCTGGACCAAGTGGATGGTCAGTTCTGGTGACTGTGTTGGTTGAATCAAAGGGGAGCTTGTTGGGGGTTTCGGTGTGATTGTGAGTGATTAATGTGCGCAGGTGGAGAGCGCGGAGGCGAGGGCCAGGGTAGCCAAGCTCGACCTTGTAGCCGTGCTGGCTTACGGCCTGTTCGACGCCGTCACCTACACGACCTTCTTCGTGCTCGCATTCCTCGGCTACGAGAAGAGCACCGGCAAGAACCCAGCGGCCAATCTCAAGGCTCTGCTCGGTGTATGTTCTCTATGGGCTATGGTTTTGCTGTGTTGTTTGCTCATGTAGCATAGGTGCTTTGATCCACTTTTTTTTTCTCGATTGCTAGTGGCAAATTAGATGGAGAAGTTCATGGTTGGAAAACACGACTAACTGGAATCCTCTGTACCCTTGATATCTGTAGACTAGTTGCAGAATACAATTCTGAGGTGCTTTGCTAACAGACTTGGCAAAAATTGTCTCATACTGACAAAATACGCTCATTTTCTTTCTGTAGACGATATCATTTTTTTTCTACTAGTTATTTCAGTGTGATCTGACCTTCTCTCATCCCAGGGTGCCAACTAGGCTAAGTTTGAACTGTTGCTGTCATTAGCCATGTTTCTGTTTGCATGTTTGCCCAATGCAAAAGTGTTAGTATCCTAAGATTGATCTTGATCTGCTTTCCTTTTGTCAGATTGTTATCCTAATGTGGACCGGTAACAATGTCACAAGGCCATTCCGTGTCGCCGGTGCAGCTACTTTGGCTCCGGTGATCAACAAAGGCTTGAAAAGCATTCAGGAGAAACTTAACCTTCCAAGCCAAATGTATGCCTTTGCACTTGTGGTTGGCTCTGTGGCCTCAGTATGCTTCACAGTTGTTGGTATCTTGATCCTCTCAAAGTGGGGCAAGTAAAGGGTTGCCTCTCCTGCACATCCACAGTTTTGTTTTGTTGCAATCTTCTGTTTCCATGCTCTTTTCTGTGGGTGTGAGTTTTCTACACATTAGTTTGAGGTGATTGATATTGTACTAATTCAGTTTTCCAAGGATAATATCCTTTTAACTTGGTTAATAATTAAGATAACTTAGTTTTGGTCTTTTGATTTGTGGGTATATCACATTAAAGGAGTGGAATCTCAATATTCCTGGTGCTTAGGAGTATAGGAACTTTAAGGGGTTTTGTTTTTGAGGAACGATTTTGAGGGGTTCTGAGTGTTGCCAAGCCCGAATACAGTTTGACCAAGCTACAAGAGAAATATTTGGACAATCTTATGTCATAACAAATGAGACATCTTGACTTGATTAATGCTATTATCCAAAAAAGTTTTGTCAGGTGGGCAACTCTGCATTAATACATTACAACTAAGTTAATAGTTCGATAATTGAACTATGGAAAAACGCTTCAATAACAATCAGAACTAATGACAGAAGTTTTAGTACATATGGCTGGCATGTTAACACCACGGACCTGTATGCAGATAATTCAAACTCAACACTTCATTGCTTCGGTTGTCCTGCTCTTGGCACTCATACAACTTTTCAGCTTTGGTGTATGTATCTTATTTGGTCAGGGAAACAGGGGGGGACTGAACATATTTGATGCACATCAAGTTACTAAATGTCTAGATATGCATATACCTTGAGTCTAGATTGATGCAGCTCTCTCATTCTCGTATCCACATTCTACATATGTGTAAAATTCAAGAATTTGAAACAATGCCCACATTTATTTATTCAAAATCTTCTTTCAGCAAATATAACATTAGAAGAGAGTAAACGAAACTTGTGAGCTGTGGGCATTGGACAAGCATGCTCAACACCCACAGGAAAAAAATTATCTAATAGCAAAGAGTGAACTTCCCAAAACTGACATCTTTATGAACAAATTTATACTATCTGCTGGTTGATTTTCAATTCTAGTTCACATACTTGCGTTCCTCTAGAAGAGAGGTCATATCCTCCTTTAATATTTAAGTCTAGTAGGAGCGAGTCTTCGGTTTTTGGTGTGCATTTGACTTCCTTAGCCTCCTGACTTCCTACATGGTACAGCTGAAAGCCTAGATTAGCTTTATCGTTGTCATCCGACAAAGCTTTCACCAATTGCTCCTTATTTTCTTTGCATACTTGAGTTGCATTGTCCATGAAACCTGATAGAGCTAGGTTGAAGTCCATGAGCTGTGATCTTGTTGATTCTATGCCATTGGATGCATTTGTGTCAAAGGAAATATTTGTCTGAGCTTTCTCTAGTATTGTCTTTAAGTACTTCCCTTGGGCCTCAATTCGCATCTGCAGCTTCTTTTGCACCTGATTACAGACATAAGCGCTTGCAGTGTTTATGGAAGAAAGTTTTGGAGTGCAAATCTCATGGCAATGATGTAAATCTGTCTTACCTCAATTTGTTCTTGTAGTTTCCTTTGGACTTTAATTTGATACCTTAGTGCATCGCTAAGTGCTATTTCTCTGATTCACATAAGAAATGCAATACAAATGATTAGCTCAACCAACGCAGAAAAGTTCAACAAAATAAAAAGGGCCCAATTAACAGGCAATCAGTAGCATCCACATTCCTGGGCCTCTATATGTGGAGGTTTGCATACAAATTTTGGAAATAAGATAGAATAGAAATTGCTTGCTTTTGGTGTAAGTTAATACTACTTGTTTGTAACAGGTGAGGCCCTAAGTATGTTTAGGAGAACTTTAGGCAAGTCGTATTCTGTAGCACTTGGATGCCGTTTGTATGGTAATATCTACTGATAGACAGAATCCTGGTTTTGGATTTTGATTTATCCTGCTTTTGATTACACCTCTACAGTCCCATACTTGCAGTTAAAGAATACATGGTTTGATAATAAACCAATTAAGAAGTTAACGACTCATGTCTCAGTTATTAAGACTTGTGAGAATAGGAGTTGAGATAGAGAAAAATTTGAGTTACGGCTTAAGGTTCAGACAGGAAATCCCTATATACTTGCTTGTAACAGTATGATTTTTTTTTTTCAAGGTAACATTTTCTAGCATCTTCAGCTGTCTACTTGACTCAATGTGCTATATTAGTTGTAACAAATATCGCCCTTATGTTGGGCACAAAAGGTGGATATATCACTTGCAGAAATTTGCCAGCTAAAGGTAATTGCTAGTTACCTCGTGTTCTTTCCTTCAGCAGGAACACCTGGAGGATGCGCTGTGGTTGAACTGAGGCCTTGTGAGAAAAGTCCTGGGGAAGCAAGATAAGATCATAAGAAAGGAACCCTTGCACGGAAAATCCTGATGACAGAAAGAGAGGAAGTGCGAGGCTCATACCGTCACTGGCAAGTTCCAGGCCTGTGCTTTTCTTGCCCTGTATTCCCAGTCTATACTTCTGTGCGCATCAGAAAAGCCTCAATGTTTCAGTACAATGGAGCAAGGGAAAAGGAGACTTGGTGTGTACTAGTAATGCTGAGGCAGTGAAGAAAGAGAGGTCAGACCTGGAGGTGGCTTTTTAGATGGTAAAGAGTGAGGCCTTTTATGCCCATCAATCTGAGCACTGACTTGGGTGTTGCTTCTGTTCCAGGAAGCACAAGAAATGGTTACTCCACAGTATAGGTTTGTGATGTCGTAAGGAAGCAAAATTCAGATGAATATCAATATGAGCTTGGAAAGCTAGAGAGTGGCTGTTGGGACTTCAGAGAGAGGAATTGAACTTGACGCGCGACGTGGCCTTTTTTCAAAGGCAATTTGTGGCACCTTTTTTTTTCAATTCCAACTGCCTTTTGGTCATGTCAGTGGAATTGTACCTGTGCCAGTTTAGGCTGTTTCAACACTACAGCTGTCCTCTGACTATGCTCTAGACTTGGCAACGGCAGCCTTGCAGTGGCTCAAAGCCAGGCAGCGCAGAAATCGGACAGAAAAATTGCACACCGACAACGACAAGCACACCATATATACTAGCAAACTGCAGAGGGCTCGGCTCATCAAGCAATCGCCTTGGCGTCGGAGTGTCAGACGGCGTCATCAGGACAAGCTACACGGGGAACGGATAGAGGAAGGAAAACGAGAGCGATGAACTCACTGTCCGGGCCGCCGAGCTTGGTGACGGCGTCGACGAAGCGCTGGTGGAGTTCCGGCGTCCACCGCAGCCGTGGCTTGGGGTCCTGCGACGCCGCTCCACCGCAGCCGTAGCTCCCCTGCATCATGATCGCCGCTCCCTCTCCGGTGGCCAAAGACACTCAGCAGCTGGAGACGACGAAGCTCTTGCTCAAGAGAATATAACGTTACCGCCTCCTAGTCCTATAGGGGGAGAAGACGATGCCGGCCGGTGTAACGCGAGCGTCGTGACTCGTGAGCACAGGTGTATGTGAGGACAAGAGGAGAGCGAGAGGAGGAGCGCAGGGCGTGGCGGAGAAGGAGGAGGGCGTCATGTGTGTGAGGAATCTAGGCCGACTTGAGCAGCTGGTGGGGTGCAGCCGTGCAGGCAGATGCAACGCAACGGCGCGAGGAATAGAACAAAACGGACGGGCATCTCGCTCGGCCACGCCTCCAACCCGGGGGCGCCACTTGGCCGCCGCGCCTTCAGGCCCAGGCGCCAAGACGGCGGCTGGGAACGTACGCAGTCGCACGGTGTACTCCACCCCATCCCAATTGGCAACAAGAAGCACACACACGGCTGGGACTGGGACGCGTCGATTTTTCACCAGAAAACACCGTCCGATCCCTGGCGTTTCGTCAGATGCTATGCTAGGGGTCAGCGTGAACGGCAAAACGTACTCCTAGTAGCATTCAGACTGGACAAGACAAGGAGGAAAATCGCAGGCAGACCACGTCGGTTTCGAATCTCTGCGTGGGAACCAAACGGAACGCACGGCCGCACGGGTCGGGTGCGGAGTGGACTCAACGGCGAGTCCAGCTGTGGCTGTGCGGGCAGAACAGCGGAATATTCCGGCGGCGGCCTCCGGTGGGACCCGGGGCGAGCGGGAGATACGGCGAAGATGTTTGGCACTGATATCGCTGGAATATTCGCGCCAGCTGTGGTTGCCGTGTGACCTGCTGACCAGTGACCACACCGCCTCTCCCTCCCTCTTGCTGTTTTAGTTGGATCCACGGACCAGTCTCCATCCCAACCTCCATCACGATGGCAGATGATTAGCCGAGACTAATACTAATGCTAAGCCTAGTACTAGATTCGGGCACCTTCGTGACTCTAGTTTGGCTCTTCTCGTACGACGATGCGACATCGTTTTGATCCATTCATTCGTGATACTCCACGATTTGATGCTGCGTGGATAGCGAAGGTAATGAGACCATTGCGGGAAAGATTCCCCGGAGCACCTATTTTGGCATCTCTACTAGCTGCCAATGCTGATCGGTGATGTGATGGCTCCATTTACAGGTCATGTTGGCAATTGGCATCCGATCAAATCCTCAAACATCCGTTGACAAAACCGGTTCACTTTGGTGAACGTTTAACACATCAACCGGCGCCAAACAGCATGGGCCACGACTCAACATCAACTGCATGGCCCTGTTCGGCTTACGAAACTTGGCTGAAAATGGCTAAAAAAACACTATTCTGGCTAAAATGTTGTGAGAAATAAATATTGTTCTGGCTGAAAAAAAAAAAACCGAACAAGCCGGATACAAGTATAAGGTAAGCCGAACTCAAGCACCGCAAAATGCTACTGTATAAAGTACAGCGGCAGGTCACAGAATTTACACATGCTGCATGGCGAACATACCTATCATTGATATGGAACACAGGGTGTGTGATGGGTAGTTGCATGCTTACCCACAAACCCGATAAATAGCATACACGCGTGACAAGACGGGCCAAGATTGGTTGACACAATGTAATGTAATGTAATCAACAAAGCCAAAAACAAAAAGTGATAAATCAATAAGGCATATGGAAGGAGCAGCCCCGCCGAGGAGGAAATCGCAGATGACAGGTATTTTCCTGTATGAAAGTTCATGGCTTATTTGAAGCCAAATTGATGCTTGTTGTAGTTGGCTAAGCTCTCGATGCCACCAGCTTGTGTTGGTGGAATACCAGACATTCCTAGGCCAGATCCGGTGCCCATGGTCCAAGAGGGCATGGCCTTCTCATCGGACCCATCACCAAGGCCACCGACGATGCCAATATCAGCTAGGTTCACCTTCTTCGCTGCAGTTTGTCAGAAACAATGAGAAACATAAACAGGTCCGGAATTTAGACATTTACATCAAGTTGAATAGATGTCATGACAACAGGGGAAACAGAAACGAGGAACATACGTGCAGTTATGTTCAGATCAATCAATCCTCGGCTCAAAGAGTCTGCCCATATGCCAGACTTGACCTGAAAATTTTCTTTCTTCGTGTTAGGCTTGGAAGCTGTGTTAGGCTTGGAAGCTGCCGCAGGTGCTTGGTCTGTCCTTCCAAGGTTGCTACCCGAAGAAAGATCGAAAGGGTCCTTGGCTGCTTCCTCAGTGCTAGATACAAATGCACCAAAATCAGATGCGTCAATCTTGGGAGCTGCCAAAGGTGTTTTCCCGACATTGGCACTTGAAGAAAGATCGAATGGGTCTTTAGCTGCTCCCTCATTGCTTGATACAAAGGCACCAAAGTCGGATGCAGCTTGAAGGTTCTGGTTTGATGTGCTGATATTTCCAGTAGAACTGTGTGTGGGTGGTGCTGCGGTAGATGATCCAGCATTTGAGCTGAAGCCACCAAATGGGTCAGATCCATCAAAACTGTTCAAAGGAATAGCACCAAAAGGATCAAAAGGCTCAGGAGCCGCCTTCTTGGATACAGAAGTATTTACTTCAGAAGATGTCCCGGCACTAGGTGGTGGAATAAACCCAGCCTGTGGTGGAAATGCTGCAGGAAAAGATGTCTTTTCCACAAAAAGGTCAACATTGCCCTGCAGTATTTTTGTATTATGAGCAACGTGTATCATGATAGAGGATTGCAGAAAGAAATACATGATTTGATAACAATATTATTTTTTTGAAAATTTTACCACAAGACAATGAACTTTGCTGGCATTTGCTATTTCACACCAAACTTTCACTGTTTAGCTACAATCCATCACAAAACCATTGCTCTTTGCCAATTATATTAGTTTCCCTTCGTATATTTATAGTAAGAGAAAAGAAATTAAAGATGGTGCCCAAGCCCTAAGCCTAGTGCTAATCAGTAAATTTAAGGGAAAAATCGATTATTTTGTCTGGGTGAAAATATTTGTTTTATAGCTGTCATGAAAATTGTCTTGAGGACATTATGTTGTTTGTACAGAATTCATGTTTATGTCCTTGTTTTAGCACTGCTTATTTATTTAATGGCACATGGTATACATGAAGCTACAGAGGCAAGATGGTCACCTCAGTGTGTGCAGTGCACAAAATTAGTGAAGCTCAAATTGAGTTAGTGAATCTACTTAGTTCAAATATGTTTTCTTCTTATGCCGGTGATAACTGAACTAATATGATCAAGCATAACTGTTTCGGTGACACAAGAGTTGGCAAACTTTATCATTTCAAAAGTTCTATTATGTCATCAGGTTTCTTTACATGGATATACATCTGCTAAAGTAGTTGTGGTGTCCAGTGCTGCAACCTGAAGGGCAAAATAGTCTATTCACCAATACTCACCTGAATCCAGGGAATTCATATTCTAGTGGTTGTGGTGTACTGTGGCAAAGAGACACAATTCTTTAATGGTACCTAGGTTAATAGTGAAAGTTCAGTGAGATATAGCAAATGGCAGTAAAGTTCAGTCTCCTGTGGCCAATTCTTCCTTAATTTTAGGTTGGAACACTACAACAGTGCTGCACAGTTTTGTTTATATTCATCCTCTTCCAAGTAATCCAATTGATTGTAGGAATGCACAAGTATTAGATAATATTCTAACATGTATAAAGAAGCCTTAACATGTGGAGAAACAAACCTGGACATCTGTATTTGCAGCTGTCTCTGTTGCCGATTGGAAATCTGCATCAGCAAACAGATCGACCTGTGGCTCTACAGCACTCTCTGTTGCTGGAGTTGCTGCAGATGTATCAATAAAATCATCCATCAAGTTTGGGCCAAACAGATCCACCTCATTTAGTTTAGCAGTTGCTTTGCCTACAAAAAAAACAAACAGCAATGAGAATCACACATAGACCCTGTTGAAGACATGCCAATCAATAGACGTTTTTTGTGTAGAAAGCCATCAAGGAACACTTCAAGGCCAGCCTGTTCGCTTGGTCGTATTTGGCTTATAAGTCATGGCTTATCAGCCAACGAACAGTATTTTTCTCTCACACCAAACCAGCCAACAGTACTTTCAGCCATGGCTTATAAGCCAAACCAGCCCAAACGAACAGGGCATAGTCTGCGGTGTTTTATGTCGTATAAATTTAAGTACATTTCCTAAGCTAAAAAGGTCTTGGGTGGCAGGAAGAACCCAGGGGCTCATGTGATCTCGTTGGACCCTGTTTTCGCTCTACTTAGTGAATAGGACAACTGGCAGCATTTGTGCAGGTTATCATAAAAAGAAATCACAAATGGACAACTGGAGAAGTCCCTGCCTTAGTTAATTTTGGAAGCCACATGAATCTCAATTTTGTTCCTTTTGCAAGTGTCAGAAAAGGGCAATATCTGCATACTTATTGCTAAATCATACTTGATGAGGACCTATTTCAGGTTTTCAACAAATTAATTCAGTTATGAAAAAGAAATTAATTATGTTATTGTTCTGACAGTATCATTCACTTCTCTCTCCGTTTTCTAAAAATAAAACATCACGACCACTGTTCATGTTTAGAACTGGATAGAAGCCCAACATAGAACTTCACTTTTTGCAAAAAATATTGTAACTAAGCACCAAATAGGTAAAAGATTTTACCATTTGATCCGCGAGGATCGAAGTCATCAAAGTCGTCCTCAGTGTTATTTGTATTAGATGGGGGGTTCAAAGAGCTGGGTGAACTATAATCCTCATTCCTGGTAATTCAAACAAATCAACATCAGTGATGGAACAAAAAGTCCAGACATGAATCACTGAACTTGCCATGGTCTTGCATGATCCACACAATGATCTCCAATAAAAATAGCACAATACTTTTGTGACAGTGAGTTGTTTTGTTCAAACTATATTAAATTTTACTTCACTTGGGATTTGATTAATATGTCAAACAAACAGCAAAGCAACCACAGACATCCTATCCCACTGGCTAGAAAGATACAGTTCTCTGAAACCCTACTTGGTGCATGAAGAAAATGCAAAGTAATTTGGAACAACCTCCTATCAGGCTTCGCATCCTTCTTCAGCTTGCTGCCAGATTTCCGTCCGCCACTATTACTTGTGGAGGTTTTAACAGGTTCTTTGTCCCTGTAACTGTCACCGTATGAGTCAGCTTCCTTTTTACCACTGAAACTCCCATAACGTTCGCCTGAACTGTAGTTGCTACCAAATGAGGCTGAGCTCGATTTATATGTTATGCCTGTGGATGATAGTCCAACGTACCTTCATCCACAACAAATAGTATTAAGATGAGTACACAATCCAAAAATCCATGGCAAACACTCAAAGCTTTTCCAAGACAACTTACTTATCACGATTACTGGCTGCTTTGTCTCTCACGGCCTTTATTCTCTCCTTGTCATTTATGATGCCCACAATAGTTTCTACTTTTTTCCTCACATTTATTCCAGCATCTTTACCATTAGGCTCAACATACTCAAAACTCGAAAGGACCTTCACGAACACAACACAAGAAAGAAAATATTTAATTGCATTCAAGATCAACAAATGACAAAGTATAGATAAAAGCAAAGAAAATCCATACCGAGATCTTAGAATAATGATCAAGAATGTCATCAACTGCCCTCTCAGAACCATTGGCTATCAAGTACTCAATAATTGTCAATGCCTGAACAAAAAGTCTTTTCTTAGTAAACAAAACTATTGATTAAGAAAATTAGATACACAAGTTGTTCTCTTTGGTGGTTTCTATGGCCAATGTAGAATATATGGAATAAAGACTCATCACTTGATGAGAAACAGTAATATCATAGAACGATCATGAAAGACCAATAACCTTATACACATGACGCCAATTCGCGCCTCTCTCAGACAGTCTAGTCCATAGGACATTCATTACCATCTGGCACTCAGCGCTGCAGATTTCAGAAGCATTTGAGCATTGACAACAAGAAGTTGAGAAGACACAACCCAAGGGACTAGAACTTACAACTTCTTGGTAGCGTGTGCAAGCTCTGAAAGAGCACTTCCATGAGGGCCCCACGGTTCATCACTTGTTGCATCAAGTACCTGTTTTTTAAAACATAACAGGGAGAGGCATACATGGGTTAATCCACAGGCTATCATGCCGTAAAGCATTTTTGTTAACTTTATACTTAATTAAAGCAAGCGATCACAGATTTATAATAATATATGTTGCCAAGGCACCATTTAGTGTGCAGAAAAATGGTGTTTCAGGTACCATATAGATTACTAATTATACAAATTTCAACATAAATTTTGCTGGACCAACTAATAATATCTTAATTTGGCAATGTAAACTCGTATCCATTTCAAATTGTAGAAATAAAATAATGAAGTCATACAGAAAACACATCCAAACTACACGATATCGTGAAATGATTGCTCCCTCACCCACCACATGAACCAATCAAAGAACTACGACTCCAACACATAAATAAAAGGGGGGAAAATACAGAGAGATAGTGCTAAGATCTGGGCGGGGCGAGATCCGACCTTCTGCTCGATCTCGGGGACCTTGAGCACCTTCAGATTGACCTCCCTCTTTCTGCACGAGTACACGCGCAACACGCAGATCAAGATCCGAAGGATCGAATCCAATAAGCATCACTCTCAGAATCTAACGACGCCAACGAGAGCATAGACAAGGCCAGAACTTACATCTCGCGCACAGTCTGATCGAAAACCTTCATGAAATCCATCGCCGGCGAGGAGTGGCTGCAGCCGGCTGCAGGTTCGTTGGGATCAGATCTAAGCTCCGCCCGACCGAGTTGCAGTGGCAGCTAGAGGAGTGGCTCAAGCTGTGCCACGATGTGGACACGCCGAACGAATCGCCGTGTCCGTTAAGGACGCAACAGAATCCTCGCGGATCCCGGTCTACAGCCCGGCCTCCGCCCCCACGGCGAGGCCCCTGGCGCCGGCGGCGGAGGGCGCGCGCGGGATGCAGCGAAGGAGAGCGGGGGAGCCGGGGAAGGAAAGGTGGGAGAAAGGGGAAGCGGTGAAATGGGCAGATGGCCACCTGCAATATGAGTTGGCTATGGATGGCCTATGGGTGGGTATCTTTGGACGGTCAGGATCAGATAGGGCCATGATCTGACGGTCCATCTGCAGCCAGTTCAAGTGCACAGTCACGAACACATGCCATGCTAGATTGATGCTGATGGTATTAGCCTACCACATTTGGTTGCATTGCATTGGATCTGGGAATTACTCTATCTTTCTCTAAGTCAAAGTAATGTGAAATCTCTGCGTTAGAAAATTGGATCGTAGCTCTGATCGGGGATTTTCTGTTGGGTGACCAGAGCACTTTTACAGCGTAGCAATGCTGTACAAAAATCAGGGGTAGTTGAAATACTATGGTAATGCCCCAATAGTTTAAGTACCCAAGTGGAAGCTTTTTTAGTTCGAGTACCCAGATGGTAATGTCCTAATAGTTTAAGTATCTAGGTGGTAGCTTTTTCAGTTCGAGTACCTAGATGGTAATGCCCCAATAGTTTAAGTACCCAGGGTGCATTTTACTCAAGTTTTTTTTTTATCGAAAACATATGTACATTATGGACCAGTATGGCAGCAACCAATGTTACCAGCATATAACAAGCTGAAATATAACGTCAATGTGATTACATCCTTAGAAAACCCCAAATAGCCAACAACTGTACACATGTCAACACATAATAGTGTCTGATGATAATCTCTCTATGGAACATCAGGTCAGTGGTTCCTTGTGCCTTGCGGTGATGTTAAAAAGGACCCGTTCCTATCAACAGGTCAGCAGGCTCCGGAAGGTCTCTTGATAACTGCAGAGGGAAGAAAAGATGATCATATATAACCAGTTCCTGATTGCGTGAAATGATAAGTACACAAACGATCGGTATGAAGGGCTAGAGCAATACCAATGATGGCATTTCCTCATCGGATATGGTTGAAACTGTTGAAGATCCCAGTGTAGGAGGCCTTAGGCACGGCTTCAGGAGTTCCAAACACATTCCAAATCCGCAATGTCTCATCTGCTGCAGCAGATGCCACATTGCATCCATCAGGGCTCTGCAGAATTACCGCAAGGCAAGGGCAAGCGAGCCATAAGCAATGCATTCACGGAAATGTAATGTCAAGCAAGCCACAACACAAGGCAATCGAAAGCACAAGGGGTAAAGGAGCCAAGATTACCTGAGCCATGAACAGGACACGTGACGTGTGGCCATTGAGTTCAGCCAACTTAACCATCGACGGGTGCTTCCACAAGATGAGCTGATTCTGAGTGAATCCGTGCGAGCTCAGCAGCTCTCTCTCATTCTTGTTCCAGAGCAGCGCGCACACTTGCGATCCAGTGTCGACTGAATTGAGACATGCACCAGTGTGGGTGTTCCAGAACTTTATGCATCGGTCACCTCCACCACCTCCAGAAGCCAGCAGGTTGCTCTGGAATGGACACCATGCCAATGCCTTGACGGCAGACAAGTGGCCCTGAAGCCTGTGCAACCATTGGGTATGCCCTGCAGTCTGTACAGAGGATGACATGGACACATCCCAGACGTGTAGGAGATTGTCATTTCCACCACTGGCCAGTTGCTGCCCTGATCCTGACCATCTGAGCCCACACACCTCCTGCTCATGTCCATGGTATGTCTGCACAACATTGTTCCTGATCCTCACATCATTGTTCACGATCTTGCCGTCCATGCCGCCAGTTGTCAGGATGCTGTTGTTCCATGCCAGAGAACCAACCCTTGACTCATGCAACCCTCGCAGTGTCCTCAGCTGCAAAGAATCAATCACAATGGGCATCTTAAGCACAATTCACAATGAGCAACTTAAGCACAACCATTGATAAAAGAACATATTATCAGGAGACTACCAACCAGTCGGTTTGAGGTGGAGTCCCAAAGCTGGACATCAGAGGAATTGAGGCCTATGGCAATGTGCTGGCCATCAGGAGCCCAGCTAACGCTTGTGACAGGACCAGTCTCCTCATCAATGATAACAAGCTCGGTCACTGACTGACTGGAGGCGTCCCAGAGATACACCTTGCAGCCCAGCGCGATGGACAGCACATTGCTGCTTCCCCAGTCTAGCAAGTTCAGGTAATAATCGTCAACGAGCCCTGGGGCATCCAGAACCTTCTCCGCAGACTACAATAGTTACAACGCACATTCAGTCAGGAACATCATGGAACGTGCAAGCCAAAGAGTTATTGTATATAGCTAGGCGTGCATACCTGGGGAACTTGTCGGCGCTGCTTCGCCGGCTTGGCTTGGGTCGCATCAGCACGGAGATCCGTGAGCATGCTTTCAGGCTCCGGCGGCTTGTTCCTGAAGGCAAGGATCCTTGTGCGGTTGTTGAGCAGCTTCTCGGCGAGCAGCTTCCGGTACGCCTCCTTGGCCGGGGAAACCCTAGCAGCCGGGTTCTCCTTGCCCTTCCTCGGCTCCGTCAGCAGGTAGTGCGCCAAGTCCATGTCCATCGCCGACCTCTCCGGGATGAACCTGTCGCCCTGCAAAACAAGGATCCATCAAGCGTTGCGGCATTCCGTCCAACAGCCTGCGTGCGCGTGCCAAGAAAGAGGGGGGATTGGGCCTTTGGGGCCGGAAACTCACGTAGCACTTGGCCAACGGGTTGCGGGACCCGGTGCTGAGCGGTGGCATGTACGGCCTGGACCCCGCCTCCTGGAGCGACGGCCGCGGCGCCGCCGCGCACCGGCTGCGGCTCTTGTGCGACGAGATGGAGTTCGGTCCTGCGTCCATGGTTTAGAACTGGAGCAAGAAACAGGTCACAACGCAGCCAAAAGGGATGTGCTACTTTATTTATCACAAACAAGAACGACGAGATTCTGTCGCGAGACGGCGCCCGCCCTCGTCGCCCCGATCGCCGGATTCGCTTGAGGCGGCGGAGTAGGACGATGAGATCGGGGAGCCGAGATGGAGGCGGCGGAGACAGGAAGGTTTTCTTTCGCAATTCAGGTGGGATCCGTGGAAGGAGTGTACGGAAGGGGGCGGGGAGAAGGGTTTTGTTTGTAGCACCGCAGCCGCAAGCGGCAAGCCCGTACCTGTAACGGCTAGTGCCCGAGAGAACTTCAGCCGTTGGGCGGCGACGGAGGCTCGCGTGTTGACGTGCTGTATCTACCCCACCCACAGTATAATACATCAGCTAGAATAAATCTATAGCCACATAATAAATACCTACTCCATAGTCATGATCTATGCTACATTCACACACATGAATACACCCAGAAAATATAACACCATCAAAACGGATGCACCAGATTATCTCTTAGTCATTCTCTTTTATTACTCATCCAAATCTAACGGCTCATGTTTAGTGTGTCTGTCCTCCATCGCCCTCTCGCGGACCTCCCACGCGCATGCAGGCTCGCGTTGATTTCGGTTGCCCCACGATTCGATCCCTGATCCAGTTGTCTTTTTTTCCAAAAAATGGAACACTATCCGTTCGCATCTCTCTCTCTGCCTCGACGCGGATCTCCGCCTCCCGTTCGCCGCCACCGTACGTACATCGCCGTCGCCCCCGCTCCTCCTCCTCCCCTAAAACCTCCTCCTCCCTCCTGTGGCCACGAGGCACGGCTCAGCTCCTCCTCAAAGCAGGTGGAATCCAGGGCGCGCGGTAGCGTTGCGAACGAGTAGGAGGAGCAGGGGTCCCGCTAGGGTTCCCCTGGATTGGCCGCCGCACCCCATGTTCTTCCTCGCCGATGTCTCCCCACGGCCTGCCGAAAGCGCCAGAGGTGATGGACTCACGCCCGCGACGATGGAGGACGAGCACGGCGGAGGAGGAGGCGGTGACGCTGCGGAAGGCGTGGTGCCGACTGCGGGTGTCCGCACATGTCCCGACGTGCGTGCTAGCTACGGCCGGGCCAGCTCGCAGCGGCCGGTCGGGCCGGCCAGCCGGGGCGACCACCTGGCAAGGCCGCCGGGCACCAGGCCATCCTCCTTTGCCTCTCCCTCCCAGTCCACGTTTTTGGAGACGTTGAGGTATGGACAGCACCACAAATTTGATGTTTTCTCAAATTTGTTCTTCATCTAGGGTTTCCTAATTTTTGGAGGTGAGCCTAACAAAATGTTGCCTTGTATAACTAGAGTATAGCTGAAATTTTTTACTGATATGATATTGGCAGGTGCGTTCTGCAGTGGGAGTCTAAGCATGTAATTACCGTCAGCACAGCAATTTAGGATTGGCTAGCCTCAAGTAATTTTCTTCTGAACTGATAATTTGCTTTGCATTCCATATTAATTGAAACAATCTGGTTATAACTGTAGGATTGGCAATTGAGTTAACGAGGGAAGGTGAAATACATGTTGTGTTAAGTGGTATTATTTTAGCATTTGCCTGACCTGCTATCTTGGTGTTTGCTGCATACTTTATCGACAACAAATGGTCTGTTGCTATTGACAGGTAGCAATAATTCACTATGCGTGCTTGTGATGTATTGCCAGTATTGGAGGCTTGGAGACAAATTGTTTAGATAGATGTTGATGTTTTTCTCATTAATACGTGTAGTTTTTTTCTGGAATTGTTTTGTGAAATTGTGGCACGCATTTTATATCACAGCAAAGGAAAAGGCCGAAGAAAGCATTGAGCAAAGAGAAGAACGGATAAAAAGCAGCATGGATACCGAGCAAGAAAGAAGAAAACACTGGTACGCATTGATGTAAGGTCGATATTGCGGACTAGAGGGGGGTGAATAGTCTTTTCTAAAATTAATTGCGTCGGCTAATCGAAATAAGTGCGGAATTAAAACTATCGGTCTAGCCAAGACTACACCCCTCTATCTATGTTCTCTAGCGCTTTCCAAAGATACTAATTAAGCAACAAAGGTGTCGGGCTAGTTATAGCCCACCTAACCAATTCTAAAAACAAGATCACACAAACCTATGCCACTAGTACTTCAAGCAACAAGGGAGATCCTACACATGCTAGTAAGCAAAAGCACAAAGCCACCTAAGCTCACTAGCAATGCTCAATAACAAGGCAACCAATGCCAAATTAGAGAGCGCAAATACTTAGCTACATAAACTAAGCAATGTGACTAACAAGGTTACACAAACCAAATTAGCCACGCAAGGGAGCTACTTCTATGCTACACAAACAAGAAGGTAACTAGTGAGCTACACAAGCAAACTAATTACAAGAGCAACTACACAAGCACAATGTATATGAAAGTAATTACAAGCTTGTGTAACGAGGATGCAAACCAACGGGAAGAACAAAGTTGACACGGTGATTTTTCTCCCGAAGTTCACGTGCTTGCCAACACGCTAGTCCCTGCTGTGTCGACCCTCACTTGGTGGTTCGGCGGCTAATTGGCATCACCCGCCAAGCCCGCACGTCGGGCACCGCAAGAACCTACCCCAAAAGTGAGGGTAGCTCAATGACACGCTTTACTAGAGTTGCTCTTCGCGGCTTCCACGGGGCGAGCACAATACCCCTCACAAAGCTCTTTTCTGGAGCACCGCACAAGCTTCTTGCGGGCTTTGACGGAGACCACCACCAAGCCATCTAGGAGGTGCCAACCTCCAAGAGTAACAAGCACCACCGGCTTGCAACTCAATCACCCAGTGCCACTCGATGCAATCTCACAATGCAATCGCACTAGAATCACTCACTCATACAATTGGATGATCACTATCAAGCATATGTGAGTTAGATGGCTCCTAAGCACCACCACATAAGCCACCAAGGCTCTAGTGTGCTCAGCTTATGGTCAAAGGCCGGCCACCACTTTTATTTATAGCCCTATGGGCTAAACTAGCCGTTACCCCTTCACTGGGCAAAACTCGGGACGACCGAATGCTCCGGTCAGATCGACCGGACGCTGGACCCCAGCGTCCGGTCGTGCGATGCACGCCATGTGTCCCCTGCTTCATACGCTGATCGCCCGATCTCAACGGTCAAGTTCCGACCGGACGCAGCACAGTGTATGACCGGACGCAGGACCTCAGCGTCCGGTCACTTCCAGTAAGGTTCCAGAGACGCTCAACTGTGACCGGACACGTCCGGTCGGTCACGATCGGACGTAGCATCAGCGTCCGGTCCTTCTCCTCTTCTCTGCGTTGCCACACCAGCGCGACCGGACGCACCCAGCCAGCGTCCGATCACTTTCATGTGTATGTGTGTTAGCTTTTCACAAACATTTTTTAAAGGATTAGCCACTCAACTTGCCACGCCACTCGATCCTAGCGACGATGCACAGTTAGATTACTCGAGTGGCACTAGATGACCGATATGCAAACAAGTTTGCCCCTCTTGATAGTACAGTCATCTATCCTAAACCCGGTCATAAACTTCTCTACACACCTATGACCGGTGAAATGAAATGTCCTAGGTTATACCTTTGTCTTGCGCATTCTATTCCATCTCCTCCAATGTCGATACAACACATGTACCAACACGATCAACAATGATATGATCCACTTCATATCATCACATGATCATATTGGTTCATCGATCTTGACTTTACTTGCTTTTCACCGTTGTCTTCGTCCATCGACGCCAAGTCTTGCTCAAGCTTCACCGCCACGCGGTCTATCGCTCCAAAGCCTCCGACTTGCCCTTCACGCTTGTAACCGATCCATCAAGCCAAGTCTTATCTTGATCTTCTCCACCTTGATCACATGACTCAATGTCATGTCTCATGTGCAATGAGTCCTTCGTCATCACATGTGTGAGCTTTGCAACTTCTCCGAGCCATTTCCACCTCCATGGCATATGTTGCTCACACACATGTACTTGTGGACTAATCACATGTATATCTCACATAAACACAATTAGTCCACCTAGGTTGTCACTCAATTACCAAAACTACACAAGGACCTTTCAACTGAGCAGTACTAATTTATGGATTGGATTTACTTGGTACTAGATATCTAAATTTACAAGTTTTTTGAAGAAGCCTGACCTTTTGCTAGCTGCTGTTGAGACTTATAGGTAGTTCACAATTTCTTCTGTGGTTATTGTGCTTCTTGTAGAGTGGCAGCAGCACCTCTATATGGTCAAGAAGCAAGTATATATTTTTTTGATAAGCAGAAGCAAATATAAATGTTGACATGTCGATCAGGACAGCATGAATATATTTGTTGTACAGCCTAAGTAAAATTTTCGAACGAGTTTCTTAGAATTTTTGATTTAAAATGTACTTAATGCGATAAGCGAATCCCGTATGACTTAGTCTTGTGGACTCAAATAAATGTCGAAGTTAAATTACTCAGTGCATAAAGATATTTAGAAATATTGAACGACGATTCTAACGAACGGTTTGTTCTATTAGATTAAGCAGGAAAAGCAACTTTTATAAATAAAATAAAATCCATTAATAAATAGGACGATATATATATAGCCTTTGTCTAGTGACATGTTACGTATAGACTCATTTTAGTCTCTACGATAAGTTGGTAAAGAACCTGCGACAGCTGCCCGTCTGGCTGCTTCATAAATTTACGTGGTTGGTGTGAAACACGTTACAGACGTGAGATAGCGCAGCAGCTTAGCAGTCTTCATTTACTTTTCCTGGCATGGCGTGCAACGTACTAGCTTGGCAGTGCAATTATGGCTCCGTTCGGCTGGTGCCATAAAATCATTGTTCACGCCTGAAAACACTGTTCACGGCTGATTTCCTCTCATATATTCCTCCAGATTCATCCAAATTCCTCCCAGCGATATTTTAATGGGAGCACGTGGTTCTGCCCCTGCCACGCCGTGTCCTCTTTCCGTCGTGCACTGCCGAGTAACCACTGTC